GTGCCACCACACCTGGCTAATTTTTTTTTTTTAATTTATTGTAGAGAGGGTTCTCACCAAGTTGCCTGGGCTGGTCTCAAACCCCTGGACTCAGGCAATCCTCTCACCTCTGCCTCCCAAAGTGCTAAGATTACAGGCTTGAGCCACCATGCCTGGCCCAGAATTTGTCTTCTACCTTAGAGACAATATTGAAGCCTCCTTACCCTGAATCATTTAGGTCCTGGTTGATCTCACGCCTGTAATCCCAACTATTCAGGAGACTGAGGTGGCAGGAATGCATGGGGCCAGGAGCTTGAGAAGGGGTCAGCAGATCCAATGAGTGATTCGCCCCATTGCCAGGGTTACTGGTAGGAAGATCCTTTTAAGAAACTAGGAGGTTGGAACACTGGGATTCCCACAGACGTGGAGGTGGGAGATGTATTAATGGTTCTTGAGAAGGATGAGGACTGAGAGGTGGAGACAGGATTGGCACCTCAGAGTTACTTTTTTAAATTTTTATTTTTTGAGTCAGAGGCTCACTCTGTTGCCCAGGCTGGAGTGCAGTGGCATGCTCATAGCCATGGCAGCCTTGACCTGCTGGGCTCAGGTGATCCTTCCATCTCAGCTTTCCAAGTAGCTGGAACTGCAGGCATGTGCCATCACACCTGGCTAATTTTTCTTTTTTGTTTTTTTGAGTTGGAGTCTCACTCTGTCGCCCAGACTGGAGTGCAGTGGCCGCTCCCGGCCACCGCAGCCTCGACCTGCTAGGCTCTGACGATCCATCCGCCTCAGCCTTCCAAGTAGCTGGAACTACAGGCGTGCGCTACCATGCCCAGCTAATTTTTGATTTATTGTGGAGATGAGGTCTCGCCAAGTTGCCCAGGTGGGTCTCGAACCTGCGGGCTCGGGCAATCCACTCACCTCAGCCTCCCAAAGGCGTGGGATTACAGGCTGAGCCACCGAGCCCAGCTAATTTTTCTTGATATAGTGTAGAGATGTGGTCTCGCCAACTTGCCCAGGCTGGTCTTGAACCCCTGGGCTCAGACAATTCTCTCCCCTCTACCTCTCGATTACAGGTGTGAGTCATCGTGCCTGGCCGCCCCAGAGCTCCTTAGTAGGCTGAGAGCTTGGGGTTGGGACACAAGGATTCCTAAGAAGACTGAAAACTGGGAGCTGGGGGCCAAGGGCTGGGGACTTAGGCACGAAATTGCCACAAGAAGCAAAGAACTGAAGCGAGAAGATGTCCCAAGGAGGGGTTGTACACCAGTATGCTCCAGAGGTCTGAGGGCTGAGGTCTGGGTCACCACATTCTTGGAGGGCAGAGATATTCCTAAATGTCTGTTCTCTCCAGCGGGGACCAGCACAAGCCAGTTCTTGTTTAATGGAGTAAAGACAAATTTGTCTGGGAATGCAGCAAGTGGACCAAGAGTAGAAGAGAAAGGCAGGTTTCTCCCTCTGCTCCTCCCTTTTTCTTTCAGCCTGCCTCCGCCATCTCTTTATGACCCTCTCACGCCCCCTGCTGCTTCTTCCCGAGGCAGTAATGGTCAGCCCAAGGACCAGAATGATTTCTTTTCCTTTCCTCCTGATCTTCCAGGACCAGTCACAGAGGCAGGAAGGTAGATTCTCAAAGGGAGTAGATGCTGGGAGGTGGGCTCCTAGCTTCCAGAAAGTGACCTGTGTCTGGCATGTGTGTGTGGGGAGGTGGGTGTGGGTGCTGTTGCTGGGATCTCAGCCTAAGAAATAATCACCTCGGGGGCCATTGCCTTGCTAGGGTCTGGTGTGGCCATGTGCTCTTTGAGCCATGGCTGTCGCCATGCTTCCTGGCTTTGGTCCCCCTCCCCCACCTTGTGGAGTGAATCTTCTCTCTCCTTTCTCTTTCTCTCTCTAATTTACTTTTAAATAAATTTTCTTTCTTAACCTTTCTGTGTCACAATTCTTTGCAATTTCTTGGATCTCTGGGTTCCCAGCACTCACCTCTGGCTTGCCAGCCCCGGCAATGCTGCTGTGCCGCCCTGAGCCTCTCCACCCTCACCCTGTCTGTCTGTACCCTAACACCTGCGACCCTGCTGGCCATCTGGGGAGCTGAAAAGAGCCATCCAGTTTCTCCAAGTTTGACCAAGAAACTAAAAAATAATCCCAAGCAATACTTCAGACTCCACTACTTTCGCAATTTATTCAGCAAACGACCCTGCACTCCTAAGACAACTAGTAGTTATCAACTAATTTCGAATCACAAGTTTTCCTTTAAGGTCATGTATAGAAGTTAGTTTCATTCTGTCCTATTTAAAAAAAAAAAAAGAAGAAGAAATAATCACCTCAGGTTGGGCGTGATGGCTCAGCCTGTAATCCCAGCACGTTGGGAGGCCGAGACAAGAGGATTGCCTGAACCTGGGGGTTCAAGACCAGCCTGGGCAACTTGGTGAGACCTTGTCTCTACAAAGAAATCACAAAAGTAGCCGAGCGTGATAGTGTGCATCTGTAGTTCTAGCTACTTGGAAGGCTGAGGCAGAAGGATCGCCTAAGCCAAGCAGGTCGAGGCTGCAGTGGCCGTGATCTTGCCACTGAACTCCAGCCTGGGCGACAAGAGTGAGACTCCAACTCAAAAAAAAAGAAAGAAAGAAAGAAAGAAATCACCACTGCAGACTGGGCATGGTGGCTCAAGCCTATAATCCCAGCACTTTGGGAGGTCAAGGCGAGAGGACTGCCTGAGCCTGTGGGTTCGAAACCAGCCTGGGCAACATGGTGAGACCTCGTCTCTACAATAAATCAAAAAATTAGTCGGGCATGGTAGCACGTGCCTATAGTTCTGGCTACTTGGAAGGCTGAAGCGGATGAACCACTGGAGCCCAGCAGGTTGATGGTGGGGTGGCCGTGAGCATGTCATTGCACTACAGCCTGGATGACGTGAGACTCAAACTCAACAACAACAAAAAGAAATTACTATTTCCTCAAGGACGCCCTCCTTCATGCCCAGACTAGGTTAAGGCCTCCTAAAGTGCATGCTTTCACAACTCTGATTCTCCTTTATGGTGCTTATCAGAGTTTTCAATTATCACTTATTAGTTAGCCTTTGATTTATGTCTGCCTCCCCATGGAACTGTAAGCACCAGGAGGGTAGAAACCAGCTTGTTTTTGCTTACCAATACAACTCAATGCTTGGAACAGCACCGGCGCACAGTGAATATTTGTTGAATAAATAAATGACTTTCAAAAGGGGTTCTTAGGTGGAGCTTTAATGGGGGGCTTCAGTGCCATTGGCTGGGCTCTGGGGACAGCTGTGAGTCCAGATGTCCTGGCTCCTGCTCAAGGCCCGGTCCATGTCCAGTATCTGGCCTTGTGCCCAAAGTCCATTCAAGCAAAAAGAGGCAGAAGAGTCCTCTCCTAGAGAGAGGTGGCATAGAGATAGTGTAAGGAGCCGGGTTCGATGGCTTAGCCTGTAATCTCGCGCCTTGGGAGGCTGAGGTGAGTGGATTGCCTGAGCCCATGGGTTCGAGACCTGCCTGGGCAACTTGGTGAGACCTCATTTCTACAATAAATAAAAAAATTAGCTGGGTGTGGTAGTGTGCGCCTGTAGTTCCAGCTACTTGGAAGGCTGAGGCGGAAGGATTGCCGGAGCCCAGCAGGTCGAGGCTGCGGTGGCCGGGAGCGGCCACTGAACTCCAGTCTGGGCGACAGAGTGAGACTCCAATTAAAAAAAAAAAGAGATAGTGTAAGACCATGAGTGTGGCTTGGATCCAGAAGCTCCTCTCCACGTTTCTACTTCTTCAGCCTGAGTTTTCAAAAGCACTACTTCCCATTGCCCACTGTCTTCTATCTTCTTGGTCTTGACCTTTTCTTCTTCCCTCCCAGGAGTTTCCTTCCCCTTCAAATTTGCTCTCTCATTTAATTTAATTTATTTATTTATTTATTTTTGAGTTGGAGTCTCACTCTGTTACCCAGGCTTGAGTGCAGTGGTATGCTCACGGCCACCCCAGCCTTGACGTGCTAGGCTCAGACAATCCTTCAGCCTCAGTCTTCCAATTAGCTGGAACTACAGGCATGTGCTACCACGCCCGGCTGATCTTTTGATTATTGTAGAGATGAGGTCTCGTCAAATTGCCCAGGTTGGTCTCGAACCCCTGGGCTCAGACAATCCTCTCACCTCGGCCTCCCAAAATGCTGGGATTACAGGGTCTTCCTATATTGCTCAGGCTGGTATTAAACTCCTGGATTCAAGCAATCCTCCTGCCTCAGCTTCCCAAAGTGCTGAGATTATAGGTATGAACCACCATGCCCAGCCAAAATGTGCTCTCTCTCTTTAGCTGTTTTCAATGGCATGCTGAGGAACTTGAACATCATTATCTTACCTGGTAAAGCCCCCAGGAAGAGATGCCCTTGAGGCTGAGCCCAGAGGTTGAGCAGGGGACCAAGGCCCAGGGGAGGCAGAGCAAGCACCTCTGTCTTCGGCCCGTGACTCAAGACCACCCTGGACATACCCAGCTTCAGCTGAAGAGGGAGTCCCAAGACCAGGGGCAGATCCAGCCCTGGCCCTGACCAAGGAGTCAGTACCACCTTCTGCAGAGTGTGTGGGAAAAGGGATGCAAGGGAGGAAAGAATGAGCTGGACCTGCTTCCTGTAGCGCCAACCCTAGCTGCTTTAATTCTGCCTCTCAGCTGCACCTCCACCTACTGGCCATTCTCACCACTTAAATCCTCTCCCCAATTTTCTTGGCTTGACCCTTTGTGAAATCACACCCACCCCAAGTAAATATTCAATCTAAATAAAAGTCATTTGCTTTCTGTGAGCAGCTTCAAGATATGTCCCTGGACCCCGCCCCCACATAAGTGCTACCCTTAAGCCTAATTTTGGCATTTTGGACCCTTCTTTTCCCTCACTGATCCCAGACTTGACTGAATTCCAGGCTCCAGACAGCACCCCAGTCCCCCATTACTTGATCCTGGAGATGAAGGCTGAGCCAAGAAGTGTTCTCTGGTGTCCTAAGGGCAAGGAGGTGGCCTGAGCCTGTGGCTTGCTCAAGTCCCAGATCCAGAGAGAAAGCCCAGGGTTCTGCATGAGGTTGAGGAATGTCTAGGGAGAGAAATAACCCTTTTGAGGCCTCAAAGCTTGGACTTCAAGGAGAAAAAGGGCCGGTGGTAGAGGGAGATGGAGGAAGGCAGAGCTGGTCATGGAAGGAAAAACTGACTGCAAAGAAATCTACCTTGGAGATTAAATTCTGCATGAGTCCCTGGAGGGAAAAATGTCCCAGGCTGTGACTCCACATTACAGCTTCTGATGTTAGTGGGGGCAGAGACTGAGATCTGGGCTTGTTTGTCCAACCAGGTATCCCGACGCAGGCAGCCATCCAGGGCAGGGACTAGCTGGGGAGGGAGGGAAAGAAGATATGGGGAGATGGAAATCAGCACATCAAGGCCCTAGTCCCAGCCTCCCCACCCTCAGTTTATTCCCTTCCAAGACACAAGCATTTGGCCTCCTCCATGCAATTCTCATCTCACTCTCACTCCCTAAAAACATGGACTTAGATTCCCATGACTATACCAAGCCTTGGCCACAGTTTCACCCCTGTGATGTAATTACCGGCAACCGAAGGTTGGAGGAGGGGAAGAGCAGCCCCCCTAGTGCAATCCTCATGACAGCCTGGGATTTGTTGACCAGGGGCCCAGAGACCTGTCTCAGGCGTAACACCTCCTCTCCATCCACCCTCAGCAGCACCGAGTCTCCATCGATTTTTACTTCCACCTGCAGGAAAGAGGTGAGAAGCAGAATCAAGGCTACTAGGACCTGTCCCTGCCACTTTCCTTTGAGGCAGTCTAGTACAATCATGGAAAGAGTATGCTCTTTTTGTTTTGTTTTGTTTTGTTCGAGTTGGAGTCTCACTTGGTTGCCCAGACTGGAGTGCAGTGGCCATTCCCGGCCACCGCAGCCTCGACCTGCTGGGCTCCAGCAATCCTTCCTCCTCAGCCTTCTGAGTAGCCGGAATTACAGGCATGCGCTACTACGCCCGGCTGATTTTTTGATTTATTGTAGAGATGAGGTTTTGCTGCCCAGGCAGGTCTCGAACCCGCGGGCTCAGGCAATCCACTCACCTCAGCCTCCCAAAGGCTGAGTCACCGAGGATTACAGGCTGAGCCACCGAGCCCAGCTGAGTATGCTCTTTTAATATCAGCTATCATCCTTGGTTCACCCAGACCTTGTCACTTATATTCCGATTGAGTCTTGAATTCCCACTGGGGAAAAAAATAGGGACAAGAATAGCTACTTTAAGCCAGGTGTGGTGGCTCATGCCTATAATCTCAACACTTGGGAGGCGGAGGCAAGACAATTGCCTGATCCCATGGGCTCCAGACCAGCCTGGGCAACTTGGCGAGACCTCATCTCTACAATAAAACAACAAAAATTAGCCAGGCGTGGTGGCACATGCTTGTAGTTTCAGCTACTTGGAAGGCTGAGGTGGAAGGATCACCTAAGCCCAACAGGTCAAAGCTGTGGTGGGTGTGCAAGTGTGCCACTGCACTCCAGCCTGGGTGACAGAGTGAGACTCTGACTCAAAAAAAAATAAAATAAAATATCTACTTCGTGGGGTTTTGTATGGGCCAAATGAGATAACAACAATAAAGGGATGCCCAATAACTTGGTTTTGTTCACCTTCCTCATACTGTCCCCAGACACCCTTCCCCTCAGGACTAGCTTACCTGGTGCCACTTCCCATCATCCAGCCGAGGACCAGCCCCCACTGTAAGCTGAGCCCAGTGATTATGCAGTTGGATCTCAGGCCTGCCCTCCCGAAGTCCTAGCACAAACCAGTCATCCTTAGGGTTGGTATCCCCATAAAAAATCACTCCCTCTGGGTCCCAGGTTCGAAGCTCAAAGGAGGAGGAGGCTCTGGAAAGACACAAAGGAAAAGATTGTATGTGGGGTATGCCCTTTGAGAGTCAATGTGAGGTTGGGAGAGGTGGCATTCCGGGAGAAAGAAGGGAGAAACAGGGAAAAGAGAAGAGCCAATGGAGAAAGAGTAGTGCCAGGGGACTGGGTCAAGGACTAGGTCAATTCTATACTTTGTCATCTTGGTGAGGTCAAAGGCGAAGACCATAACAGGTTCCTGTCCTGGGCCATTGTTGAGGTGCACAGCAGGAGAGTCCTGGGCCCTCTATCAGAAAGAAAAAATTAGACAAGATGGAGCAAAAAATAGACAGAGGGAGAGGCACTGCTATAGGGCTAGAGGAGGACAGAAGGGAAGAGGACATAAGCTGAGTGCTCTGTCCAGCTCCTACACCTGGGTTGGGGGCAGTCCCTGGCAGGTAGGAGGTGGTAGTAGCAGCAGCAGCAGCAACAGCAGCAGCCGACGCGAGGTGGCCAGTGGGCCTGTGCTCTCCATAGTCAGCAGCTGTCCACTCCGTGACTCAGACAACTCACTTATGCGGGCAGGTGGCCTTGCGCATAAGTGGTGGAGGGTTAAAGGTTGCCCTGGGGGAAGAAGGGGGGCGGGAGATGAGGGCACTGACCCTGTGTCCCCTCTGTGGACAAATGGGGTGAGGGACAGAGTTTCTCCGCTACCATCCCCCACTACTGAGAAAGTTTATGAGCTGGAAGAGGACACATTATTTTCCCTCTATTCCTCTAGAGCTTTGTCAGTCTGAGGTCTAGAAAAAGTCCTGTCCTGCTCCCCAAGTAGCATCCTCTGTCGGGAGTAGAGATGACACATGAAATCCTAAACATCTAGCTGATCTTGGGCAAATCATTTCATCTTTGTGCTTCAGTGTCCTTGTCTGTAAAATGAGGAAAATAATACTTTTTTTTTTTTTTTTTGAGTTGGAGTCTCACTCTGTCACCCAGTCTGGAGTGCAGTGGCCGCTCCCGGCCACCGCAGCCTCGACCTTCTGGGCTCCGGCGATCCTTCCGCCTCAGCCTTCCAAGTAGCTGGAACTACAGGTGTGCGCTACCACGCCCGGCTAGTTTTTGATTTATTGTAGAGATGAGGTGCCACCAAGTTGCCCAGGCGAGGGAAAATAATACTTTATGGTGTTGCTGTGAAGTAGGATTAATTGAGATAATGTAGGCACAGTGTTTGGCATCTGGTCTGAACACCTTTCTCCCTGTGTTTTCCCAGGCCTCTGAGGTTTGTCTTGTAAGAATGTATTGTCTCTGTGTATGTAATCATCCCTTATTCATTTATTACAGGGTCTAGCAGTCTAGCAGTAGAAATTTATCATCCCCTCTCTGATCCATCTTAAAATGTAAATACTGCCAGGTGCGAAGGCTCACATCTGTAATCCTAGCACTTTGGGAGGCAGAGACGAGAGGAATGCCTGAGTCCAGAGGTTCAAGACCAGCCTGGGCAACTTGGCAAGCCCTTGTCTCTACAATAAAAAAAAAAAATTAGCTGGGCATGGTGGCATGCCGCCTGTGATTCTAGTTACTTGAAAGGCTGAGGCGGAAGGATCACCTGAGCCCAGCAGGTCGAAGCTGCGGTGGTTATGTCACTCCAGTCTGGGTGACAGAGTGAGATTCCTAATGCAAAAAAAAAAAAAAAAAAAGCAGGACGCAGTGGCTCACGCCTATAATACCAGCATTTTAGGAGGCCGAGGTAAGATTACCTGAGTCTGCAGGTTCAAGACGAGACTGGGCAACTTGGCGAGACTGCATCTCCACAATAAATAAAAAAAATTAGCCGGGCATGGTGTGCGTGCTACTGCCCTCCAGCCTGTGTGACAGAGTGAGACTCCAACTCAAAAAAAAAAAAAGCAAAAGAAAATATCCCTGAGAGCAGTAACACTTTGAACCTCTCAAGAGTTGTTAAAACAGCTTTTTCAGAGCTGGAGGTCTTGGGGCTCACCCAGTGCCTGGGTGGACGAGCGAGAGCGAGGGTAAAGGAGATAATCTCTGCATACTTCAATTAAAGAAGGGCCAGGTCAGTCTCTGGGCCGTAGGGTATTTCCGCTGGAGGCAGGGACACCCCAACAACTGCAAGGAAGACTCCACCCTCCAACCTTGAACCCTGCTCGGGGCCCAGTCACAAGACCGGGCTGTCGGGGGCGGGGCTAGGGAGGCGGAGAAATTCACCTAGTCTGCAAGCTGATTGGCTGGCGGGTATGCTCCTGCAGCGGCAGAATTCAGGGGCTTACTCCCGCAGTGAGGACCACCTCAGCCACCCGCCCTCTTTGCTTGGAGGGTACCGGGATCTGGGTCCCGCTTCCCAGCCTGCGGCACGCCGGCATTCCCGCTTTCCCGGGCTTTTCGGAATCCGAACTTGTAGGCTCTTAAAAGGCGCCTAGTTGCCTTTTGCCAGGTCCTGGTCCTAGACGGTAGGAATCGGAATGGCTTCCATTCGGATCCGAGGGGCCAAGGAGGAAGACTGTGGAGAGATCCTGAAGCTGATTCGGGTGAAGGCTGCGGGCAGGAAACTAGGGGATCAGAGCGGCCTGAGCGGGGACATAGGGCGCGGTGGGCAGGGAGGAGTGGCGCACCTTGAGACCCTGCTCGGGGAACAGTGGGGCCCTCCTGCTCTAATCTAGCCTCTGTCCCCACGCCTTAGGAGCTAGCTGAGTACGAGAAACTCTCGGATCAAGTGAAGATCAGTGAAGAAGGTGGGGCTCAGCACTTGAGTGCTGACGTAGGCTGGGGAGGAAATGAGGGATGGGGTCCCCAAGGAGCACCTCTGAGCTGATGTACACCCAGGTCCTCTGTCTCTTTGTCACAACTCCAACCTCTACAGCCCTGAGAGCAGATGGCTTTGGAGAGAATCCTTTCTATCACTGTTTGGTAGCAGAGATTCTTCCAGCCCCCGGGGAGCTACAGGGTAAGAGCCTCAGAGGTTCGCCTCTCCAATTGACCTCAGAAGTCTCCCACAAGAGGCCTTATCCTTCTTTTTTCTCTCTCAGGGCCCTGCATAGTGGGCTATGGACTCTACTACTTCATCTACAGCACATGGAAGGGACGCAACGTTTATCTGGAAGACATCTATGTGATGCCGGAACATCGGGGTATTTGGCAGGGGCTGAGGCTGAGGTGGGAGCAAAGCAACCCATAGACTCTACCACCATCCCCTGCCCCCTACTCTTAATCTGTGGCCTTTTTAAATCCCCTTCAACTGAAGCAATTGCTCTTTTTACCTCTTTCTCCCCACAACAGGTCAGGGGATCGGTTCCAAAATAATCAAAAAGGTGGCTGAGGTAAGGAGAAGGGTGGAAGCTACCAGCTAGGTCCTAAAGAAGTAAGGTTGGGCTCGGTGGCTCAGCCTGTAATCCCGCGCCTTTGGGAGGCTGAGGTGAGTGGATTGCCTGAGCCCGCGGGTTCGAGACCTGCCTGGGCAACTTGGCGAGACCTCATCTCTACAATAAATCAAAAATTAGCCGGGCGTGGTAGCGTGCGCCTGTAGTTCCAGCTACTTGGAAAGCTGAGGCAGAAGGATCGCCAGAGCCCAGCAGGTCGAGGCTGCGGGGGCCAGGAGTGGCCACTGCACTCCAGTCTGGGCGACAGAGTGAGACTCAAACTCAAAAAAAAAAAAAAAGTAAGGTTATATGGGGGGCACCCAGGTTGAATGAGGGGGTGAAAAAGCCTTTTCCTTTTTGACCCTAGGAAAGCAAGTGATGTCTTCTCCCATAGGTGGCCCTAGATAAGGGCTGCTCCCAGTTCCGCCTGGCAGTCTTGGACTGGAACCAGAAGGCCATAGACTTGTACAAGGCACTAGGAGCCCAAGATCTGACCGAAGCTGAGGGCTGGCACTCCTTCCGCTTTGAAGAAGAGGTGATGAAGAAGTTGGCAGGAAGGTGATGCTATCTCTTGGGAATCTCCCTCTACTTGAGTTTCTCCTTCCCCACCAACTGAAGCACTCTTCAGAGACTTATTTCCATGGACATTGACACTAAGGCTCCCTAGAGGAAGGTGTGTTGGGGATGTGTATCCTGGAAGTGCAGAAACAGCAGAGTTGAAGGAGAAGCCCTTCCTCCTCTTTGAGAGTAAAAAATAAATGAGAATGACTATCTCCAATGTGGTGTTGGGTAGAGGAGTTCATGAGGTGAAAGTTTCAGCCACTCCAAGACCCTGAGTGTTCTGGTCAGTGGGTATTGCTCCCAGGCCCAAGGTGATTTTTACCCTCAGTGGGCCAGAGTCTTGGCTCCGGCATATGGAATATAGAGAAAAGAAGAGCAAGGGGAAAACTTGGTAGATCAAGTTTGCTGGTCACATTTGGGACCCAGACAAAAGCCTCAGATATCTGGACTGAGCTGTGCTAGATACAAGACTGAGGGAGGCCCACGACTCAGACATGCCCAAATGTGTTGGCATTTCAGGAGGCATTAGGAAGGACCACTGCTATAACTTTAAGAAATCAGTTCTAGCCGGGCTCGGTGGCTCAGCCTGTAATCCCGCGCCTTTGGGAGGCTAAGGTGAGTAGATTGCCTGAGCCCACGGGTTCGAGACCCGCCTGGGCAACTTGGCAAGACCTCATTTCTACAATAAATCAAAAAAATTAGCTGGGCGTGGTAGCGCAAATAGCCAGGTGTGTTGGCTCACGCCAGTCATCTCTGTACTTTGGGAGGCAGATGCGAGAGGATTGCCTGAACTCAGGAATTTGAGACCAGCCTGAGCAACTTGGTGAGACCTCATCTCTACAATAAATCAAAAAATTATAGGCTGGGCTCGGTGGCTCAGCCTGTAATCCTAGGACTTTGGGAGGCTGAGTTGAGTGGATTGCTTGAGCCCATGGGTTCGAGACCCGCCTGGGCAACTTGGCAAGACCTCATTTCTACAATAAATCAAAAAAATTAGCTGGGCGTGGTAGCGCATGCCTGTAATTCCAGCTACTTGGAAGGCTGAGGTGAAGGATCGCTGGAGCCCAGCGGGTCAAGGCTGTGGTGGCTGGGAGCGGCCACTACACTCCAGTCTCGGTGACAGAGTGAGACTCCAACTCAAAAACAAAACAAAACAGGAGAATAAAGAAAACTTAAAATTAAAATAGATCTTAGCCGGGCTCTGTGGCTCAGTCTGTAATCCCGTGCCTTGGGAGGCTGAGGTGGGTGGATTGCCTCAGCCCGCGGGTTCAAGACCCGCCTGGGCAACTTGGTGAAACCTTATCTCTACAATAAAACAAAACAAAAAAAAAACTAGCCAGGCGTGGTAGCGCGCACCTGTAGTTCCAGCTACTTGGAAG